CTGAACTAAGACCACTTCTGATACTCCATTTTCACATCAACACTGAGTGGTTTCAACACCAAATCTTAAAAATCATTCAGGCAGTCCAAAAACTGATAATTGGGTTAATAGCAAATAGGCAAAATTGCCAATACAACAAACAAATATGGATATTGGCAGATAGCCATACTAAAAACACTACCAGCAACCTAACTCCAGTTGCCTAGGACCAACTGCAAAAACATAAACAACACACACACACACACACTCCAAAAACAAACAAAACAAAATAACCCCCTCTCCACACCCCCCAACCCCCCCCAAACCCCAATAATGAGTCTCCTTGAAAAACTAGTACTCCTTCAGTAATGTTCCCAGGAGAAAAGAAACTATAGATGACACACAATGATTTCAAACACCAATTATAAATATGTTGAAATGCCTCAAAAAGATATGAATAAATGCCAGGATGAACACTCAAAAAAAAAAAAACAGTTGAATGAAATAAGGGATTTGATAAAGAAAAATTTTAAAGAAAACCCAAATTGAAATAAACTTGAAATGAAAAAAATTCAGGAAGTTAAGAGGCTTAGTGGAAAGTCTCAGCAACAGAATGGATCAAGTGAAAGAGCTTGAAGTCAAGAAACAGGAATTTGATCAATCATACCTGACGACAAACCCCATAAACATAATGTCTTAGTTAGGGCTTCTGTTACTTCTACAAAGCACCATGACCAAAAAGCAAGTTAGGGATGAAGTGTTTATCGGGCTTACACTTCAGCATTGCTGTTCATTACTGAAGGAAGTCAGAACAGGAACTCAAATAGGACAGGATACTAGAGGCAGGAGCTGATGCAGAGGCCATTGAGGGGAGCTGCCTACTGGCTTGCTTCTCATGACTTTCTTCTTCTTTTTTTAAATTTTATTTTTCTTTATTAAGAAATTCGCTACCCACTCCTCATGCTATCCACAGAGCCCCTCCTTCCTCCTTCCACCCCCCAGCCCTCTTTCCCAAGTCACCCTGCAAACCCACATCCCCCAAATAGAGGTCTCCCATGGGGAGTCAGCAGAGCCCAGCTCACTGAGCCTAGGCAGGTCCAAGCCCTTTCCCACTGTACCAAGGCTGTGCAAGGTGTCACACCACAGGCACCGGATTCCCAGAATTCTACCCGTGCACCAGGGACAGATCCCAATCCCCCTGCCTGGGTGCCCCCCAAACAGTTCAAGCCAAACAACCGTCTTCCGTGTCCAGAGGTCCTAGTCCTGTCACATGGAGGCTCCACAGCCACCAGTCCACAGTTCATGAGTTTCCACTAGTGTGGTCTGTCATCTCTGTACACCCTCCCATTATGATCTTGACGTCCCTCGCCTGCAGTATCTCTTCTCTCTCTCATTAGTTGGGTTCCTGGAACTCAGCCTGGTGTCTGGCCGTGGATCTCTGTATCTGCCTCCATCTGTCACTGGACAAAGGTTCTATGATGACAGCTAGGTTATTTGCTAGGCTGGTCACCAGAGTAGACCAGAGACTAGCTAACAGGAAAAGACCTTAGGAGGGATACATGGATGACCCTCCCCCACCCCGTGAAGGAGAAGTGGATGAGATCTACATGAGTGGACTGTGTGTGTGTGTGTGTGTGTGTGTGTGTGTGTGTGTGTGTGTGTAGCAGTGGGGGGTGGTGGCAGAGGGCAAGGAGTGGGGGATGAGAACAAAGGGAAATGGGAGGGTCAAGCTGGAACAGGGACAGAGTGGGAGGGCAAGGAGGAAGATACCATAATAGATAAGAACATCATGGGAATAGGAAGAGGCTGGGTGCTGGGAAGGCTCTCAGGAATCCACAAGGTTGATCCCACTTTGGTCTGCTGGCAGTGGTTTAGCCTACCTTCTTATGGAAACCAGGATCAACAGCCCAGGGATGGCATCACCCACTACCAGCTGGGCCCTCCCTCATTGATCACTAAGTGAGAAAATGCCTTACAGTCAGATCTCTAGGAGGCATTTTCTCAGCTGAGGCTCCTTCCTCTGATGACTCTAGCTGGGACTAGTGCTGGGACACTATTAAAAAAACAAATCTATAAATCATAGGTATAGAAGAAGGAGAAGAGACCCAAGACAAAGGCACAGAAGATATTTTTGACAAAATCATGGAAGAAAATGTTCCAAATCTAAGGAAAGAGATGCCTATTGAGATGCAAGAGGCATGTAGAACACTAACTAGATAGAATAAGAAGCTCTTCACATCATGTAAAAGTTGAAACACTAAATGTACAGAACAAAGGAAGTATATTGAAAACTGTAAGAGAGAAAGACCAAGTCACATATTAAATATTATTTAATGTTTGAGAATTTCATATATATGTTTGTATGTATAATGTATTCTGGCAGCACTAAGGGGACTTCATGGGTTTAATAAAAATTAAAATACAAAAAGATCACAGGAAGATGGGAGGGAAAAGTGATGGGGATTGGATAACGGAGGAGCTGAAAATGAGTTAATGAGGTTTGTGGGTTTGACCAGAATAATATATATTTATACACACATATGAATATGTATATGTATATGTATATGAATATATATGTATATATATATGAAATTCTCAAATGTTAAACAATATTTAAGAAAAAGAAATTGTACATTAAAAAGGAAAACAATTTAAATTCCAAGGAATTCCATCTTAGAACTACATCTCCTTCAAAATGTGAACTAAATGCAAGTTAAAGATGTCTTTAGGTATCTAAGTTCTCAGGCATGTACCTCTCAGCTCCCCAGAAGGTAATCAGTAACAGGACAAATAAGACAGAAGGCATCACACTGTCTGGTAGAGACAAGATCTGGGATGAGGAGAAGCAGTCTCACCCAACAGCTGACAAAGAGTGTGCACCTACACAGAAACCCAGATACGAATAAGGGTGGAGCAGTAAACACTGAGAGCCAAGTAGGAGAATGAAACCCTCAACTCAGAGGGAGACAATAAACCATACACCTAGTTTGGAAAAATGAAGATATTGTAATAGGGCCAGCTGTTGAAATTGGATCCTAATTAGACTTATAATAAAAACCTGGAATCAGATATAAAGGGTAAAAGCTAGAAAGTCAGAGAAGCAGAGCAGCAGCCAATAGAGACTTCTTACCTCAACAAATCCTCAGACCAAATGCGGCTGAGATCCTCTTCTCCACCTGCCTTATATTCCTGTCTCCACCTCCTTAGTGCTGGGACTAAAGGAGTGTACCACCACCCAGATCTATTTTTCTTTCAGACTGGTTCAATCTGGAGTAGCCCAGGGTGGCCTTGAACTCTGCATCTTCCTGCTTCCTCTTCTCAAGTGCTGGGATTAAAGGTGTGTGCCACCATTGCCTGCCCTTTATTGTTAACTAGTGACTAGCTCTGCCCTCTGATCTC